ATCTGTAGAAATGAATACAGTGGATGGAGAGGGGCCACTGTGTAGAATGCTACTGTAGATCTTTTATCTTTCTGTAAACTTTCAGAAAGATTTAAGCATTCAGAACACTTAAGTATTAAGAGAAATTTGCAAATGTATATAAAAACTTTATTGTGAATTAAGGTGATTAATTTCTAAACATTTCCAGGAGATGTTGGACTCTTCTAAAATTAAAAACAAAAAACCCAAGACCCAAAAGTCTGCTTGGAAGGGCTGTCATTGTTTCCAGCCCCAGGTAAGACATAAACAAAGCCAAAGTTGGAGAAATCTAGGGTCCAGACGTTGGCCCCTGCTGACAGCACGTGTGCAGGGCTCTATCCAGGGTGTGCCCGGTTGCTTTGTCTATGCAGTGTGCCTATTCTATAGGTCCATGTCCCTTCCACTGTGTGGAGTGTGCCTGTAGTAGAGTCCCCAAGTCCCCTCTTCTGGGTGGAGTATGCCCATTGTAGAGTCCTCAGACCCTTCCTCTGGGCACAATGTGCATCTTGTAGAGTCCCATGTTCCTTCCTCTGTGCAGAGTGTGTCCTCTGTAGAGAGCACCTGTCCCTTCCTCTGTGGGGAGTGTGCCACCTGTAGAGTTACCTGTTGCTTGCTCTGTGCAGAGTGTACCCCTATAGGGAGTCTCCATGTCCCTTGCTCTGTGTAGAGTGTGCCCCTTGTAGAGTCCCCCATTCCCTCCTCTGTGTGGAGTGTGTCCCCTGTAGAGTCCCCTGTTACTCTGAGTGGACTGTGCCCCTTGTAGAGTCCCTTGTTTCTTCCTCTATGGGGAGTGTGCCTCTTGTAGAAATCCCAGTGTCCCTTCTTCCTTGTGGAGTGTGTCCCTATAGACTCCCCCAATCCTTTCTCTGTGTGGATTTAGCCTCTTATAGTCCCCTGTTCTTTCCTCAGTGTGAAGTGTGCTCCTTGTAGAGTCCCCGCATCCCTTCCTCTGTGTGAAGTGTGTCCTCTGTCAAGTTCCCTGTCCCTTCCTCCGTGTGGAGTGTGCTCCTTGTAGAGTCA